CCTCTAGATTTGGGGCTTTTATTTAAGAAAACCATTCACTTAAAGTTTCAGCTAATTTGGTTGTAGGATGAGCTAGCGCTTTTAGATTGGATTTTGAATGGGGAATTTTCATGAAAACCATGAACAAACGACACCTCTAAACTCTTTGGTTTGATTGAGATATTTGCTTTTGAGTGTATTCGAGCTCTGTGTATATGAAAATTTCAACCATATCTCCTGTATAAACACTAAACCAAAAGCGTCAGCCCATGTAACGACAAAAAGAGCTGAAACATTCAGATAGTGGTTATCGCACCAAAAAAACACGAGCCTGGAGTTGTTCCTCATAGTTTAAGCTACGTGTGCTGAAATTCTGAGCTTAATCGAGTTTGCTGAACCACACAGTAAAAAAATATTTTAATATTACATCAAAGTGGATGCACTTCAAACGTGCCGAAAATTTGGTTTAACATTAATTGCCAAAAAGGACAACATTATCATTAATACAGTGCATGAACTGACATTACGCTGCTTTTACTGCATTTGTTTATTTTTGAGGCCATAAAAATACATGAGATTTTCGACATGATTGAAGTGCATCCTCTTGGATGTAATATTAAAAATTATGGATAGAGGTTTGTCAAATGTTGTCAAATTTACTTAGAACAATCTTACTGTTATTACAGGAAGTTTTTAATGCACGTATGTATGGCAACTTCCCCGGTATAGAGTAACAAATTTTGGTTGGACCTATTTATGTCATTTTTACACTGCGTCTAAATGTATGCCGTTTTTTTTCTATGAATATAACATATGGACATGAAAAATGTGTGTTTGGTGAAAAAGTCTACTTTTCTAGTTTCGAATAATACTTTTCTCATAATAGGATTTTATTGAACGTTTTTATTCAACAATGAACTTGAATAATAGATGGACTTATTACATAAAGTACCATTTTTATGCTTAAGGGCCAAGTGCCATAAACCAATCAACAACTGCTAAGCGAATGGTATTTTGGTTACATAGAGCACATATTTTTTGGAATCGGTCAACCGGTTCTGGAAATATAACCGGAACATGCTGCGGTTTATATGAGGCATGAGGCTAATTGCGACCCCCAACGAATAAAACTTATCATGTGACACCTCAAATCACATTCCAGTCATTTGAGGGGCCCAGTGCCACATTGGCCACATATGGTCAAAAATCATTGAATCACATTAAAGTTCAACAACCAGTTCGATGGCAATTATTAGGAATAGCCAGGCAGTCCGCATCGTGCTCTCTTGCCGTGCGGATCTATTTGCTTTTTGCTCAAGGAAGTGTTACTACTACCTAAAGCTACAACAAATTTAAACAGCACCTTTCAGTGCTCAACCTGTTAAAATTTTCTACCTTGTTCAACTCTTATTCCTCTTCGATCCTTGTTTGGACCCTACCCGAGGTAATCCTTCTTGGATATCGTTTTGGAAAATTCCTCTTCGATCCTTCAGATTCTTATTTAATCTGCTTGGAAGTCGATTTGGATAAAAATCTACTGCCGCCATGGCGCCTAAACGCAAAAGAAAGGGGCAACCTCTTGATCCCCCTTCTGATGAAATTAATTTGAGTAATCAATTTGATTTGCTCACGGATGATGAGAATGATCCATCATCGAAGAAAAATTCTAGTATACTTTCCCGGCTTAATGCCAAGAAGGAAAAGATTCCCCCTATTGTGATAACCACTTCCGATTTCCATGCTCTTCGCATGGAACTTTTGAATTTCGTAAAAGTTAAGTTTTCACTACAAATTGGACGTCGGGGTAAATGCCGTGTATTGGCTGAAACCTTGGACGGATTTAAATGTCTTCTCAAGAATCTTACTGAGAACAAGCACAAATTTTTTACTTACGACACCAAAACTGAACGTGTGTTCAAGGTTGTCATGAAAGGACTGCCCAGTGGTGAATCCCTGGATCAGATCAAAGATGAACTGGCAAAATTACTATCCTCATAAAAAAAAACTCTCAGAGAGTACCTTGTCTTTCTTGGTAAAATTATTTAACAGATGTTTCCATTTGGCATACTTTCCTGATAAATGGAAAAATGCAAAAGTTGTATCAATTTTGAAGCCGGATAAAACTCCAGCTGAAGCTTCTAGCTACCGTCCAATAAGTTTGCTTTCTTCAATTAGTAAACTTTTTGAAAAGATAATTTTAAATAGAATGATGCTTCACATCAATACGAACTCAATTTTTGCAGTTTGGATTTCGCCATGGGCATTCACTATTCATCAACTCTTAAGAGTTACCAATTTAATTCGTTCAAACAAATATGAAGGCCACTCAACTGGAGTTGCTCTTCTAGACAAAGAAAAAAGCATTCGACAGTGTTTGGCATTAAGGTTTGATTGCTAAATTGAAAAAGTTAAACTTTCAATTCTATATTATGAAATTAGCTCAAAATCATTTAACTGACAGAACTCTGCTGGTAAATCATCAAAATTCCAAATCTGATCGACTATCTGTTAGAGCAGTAGTTCCTCAGGGGAGCATTCTTGGGCCTATATTGTATAACATTTTCACTTCGCACCTTCCTGATTTGCCTCAGGGTTGCCACAAATCTTTGTTCGCTGATGACACAGGCATATTTTCTCTTCTTATTTACAACAATGGAAGATTTCTCCCACCGCTTCCAAAACTCAACTTATAATATTTCCACATAAGCTTAGAGCTTCGTTTTTGAAACCTAGTAGTAGTCACATAGTCACTATGAACGGAGTTCCAATTTCCTGGTCAAACCAAGTGAAATATCTTGGATTAATACTTGACCAAAAATTAACTTTTAAAGATCACATTGAGGGCATTCAAGCTAAATGTAACAAATATATTAAATGTTTGTATCCTCTTATAAACAGGAAATCCAAACTTTGCCTGACGAATAAACTTCTAATATTTAAACAAGTTTTTAGACCGGCCATGCTTTACGCTGTGCCAATATGGTCTTGTTGTTGCACTACCAGGAAAAAAGCACTTCAAAAGATTCAGAACAAAGTTCTGAAAATGATTTTGAAGTTGCCTCCCTGGTACAGTACTACCGAGGTACATAGAATTTCGAATGTTGAGACTTTAGAACAAATGTCCAACAAAATAATTAATAATTTCAGGCAAAAATCGTGGCAATCCTCAATTGCAACGATCAATTCTCTTTATACTTAGATAAGATTTAGTTTTAGTTTTTAGTTTTAAGATATCAATTGTTATACTGACATGCAGGTTTAAAAAAAAACCTGTTTAAAATACTGAATTGCCAAGACAGGAACAATATAAAAACACTTAGATATATATATATCATAACAATTAAGGCTTGTAAGTTACTGTAGTAACTGGAGCACCTAGGTTAAAATGAAATGTAATTTATTTTGAATTTGGAACAAAATAAATTTGGAATAGCCAGGATCCATTCAATTTCCGGAAATCCCTAGAGAAGTAGTTAGTTTTAGACTTGTATCAAAATCTATTCTGCATTGCCTCAAACCACATGGGAATTCATCTACTACCTCTATGCTCTGTTAAAAAAAGTTGTGACTAGGAAAGTAAACCGAAAATCATGTTCCTGCGTGCGAAGGAAATTGTAAACAAACCTTAGCACACCTGACGGCCAATACAGGAAACAACATTTAATATTTTTTTTTAATTTCTTTTTTCTAAGTCCATCTAAACAAACCACTGCCAGACGTCAAAAAGTGAGGTTAACCCGACGGTGCAGTGTATGTGTCAGTCTCAGAACACCTAAATATACATGAATTTTTCTAAGTGTGAATGTATTGATATTTTGTTTTTAGGTATGTCCAGATTCATGGAATCTTTAGCTGTTTCAAAATGAGAGATAACCCAACTAACATTTTCAGCTTTATAAGCCAACTTTTCCAGCGTTGTGCTGTAAAGTAGCTAAAACAAAGCTGCAGATACAGCAACAAGTAGAAGATAGCAAAATTGTTTTGGAGAGCGTTTACTCTACTTGTTTACAACCATTATTCAATTTGTCAGTCGCATTGAATAACATCACCCAATAAACGCTAATGTCACTTCTATGCAAATATTAATCAACTTTCAGCTTTAAGCTTCAAAACAAAGCTAAAAAGCGAATAAATTACTCATTTGATGGCTTCTACACAACCAACCACTATTGCTGAATAACATAAACATCAATAGTGCTTTTTCAAAAACTAAACAACCTGTACTAAACTAGTAAACTGTTTTAGCGCTACTTTGAAAGTTATTTTACAGTCAACATGGTTTATTTTTAGATTTGTGTAGTTTTACAGCTTTCACTCTGCTCCTTTACAAAGCAGAATTAACCAGTCGAGAAAAGTGATTCATGTACACTATTATAAAGCCTCTACTCAGCAATCTTGTTGAAGAAGGGCATGTAAATTTGTTTCCGTCAGTTCAAAATGTTAGCGTAGCGAATTTGGTAGCATCAAGGTTCGCCAATGCGGTCATCTCGAGTTCGATTCCAGGTTCCGATACAGCGTAAATAATTTGGTGGTGTGCTTATAACTAATTTCGATTAATTTGATTCGCAGTAAAATAAGCTTGATAAATTCCTCCAACAACAAAAAAAAAAACGAAAACAATATTTAACCGGGCGTCAAGAAAAAGCTGTGTAGTGATTATTGGATAATCGGGTAAAGATTGAGTAAGCGCCTTTCAAGTTCACACACAACTAACCAGCAGGATAACAGCTTAATAGAAGCGTAAATAGATATGCAATCAGAGCTTGTCCCAACAGTGACTAATTTAGCCAGATTTGCTTGTATAGAGGTTGAGTAAAGGTTTCCTTGAAAAGAGTAAAGCGTTTAAATTGCGAAAATTGTTAGTTGGGAATGGTCAAATATAGAAGTATCTCTGAAATATATTGTAATACAACTTTAAATTAATAGCTACGGTTTTCAACCATTTATTATAACAATTGCCACAGTCCTCCATCCGTCAAGCATCAGATCAACCAAACGCAGTGGGAATGATTCATATTTACCGGATTTGCAGTCTCCTCATCGGCGCTCACCTGCGAGCGGACGTCATCGCGCATACGACAGATCGCGCCAAGGTCGAATGATTTATTCGTACGAAACACATGTTCGAAACCGTCCACATTGTGCACTATGTCACTTTTGCACAATTTCCGTTTACTTTGAAAGGTGGATCCCACACCGGCACTGCCGCCAAACCTGACGGGCCTGATCCGGAAATTCCCGAGAAATTCCTGGAACTTGGCACTGTACTTATTGACCTTCTTTGTCCGCTCAACGTCTTCTTCGTCCTCAACGGCACAAAACGAACATTTCTCAGCACTATACAACCGACCACAGTCTTCGCAAATATTTTCGTAAATATTCTCCTCACACTTTCTGAGCTTCCCGTAGCCACCGAAGGATAGCTGTTGCTTCAAACTTCCATTGACGACATTCTCGTAGATATTAGCACTCCACGATCCATCGTTATCCAACGTCGCAATTGGTGATTGTTTTTGGTCACGATTACCACCCCCGAGAAATGGCACTACACTACTGCCGTGGCCAATGTCATCAGACAGACTACCAGGCTGCTGCTGCCACTTAGTGCCACTGCCTCCGTCAACATCATCATCATCATCATCTGCATTGTGCTGGTATTTGTTTTGCTCTGGCAACGACGACGGTGGCGATGATAATTGCCCTACCCCTACTTCCATGACTGGCTCAGTACTATACGATCGAGACGCAGCGAACAATGACGTCGTCGTCATCGTCGGGATCGCGAGTGGTGGTAGATGAGAAACGGAACCGGCGGAAGCGGGCAGCAGATGTAGGGCCGCAGATTTATTATTGCTGTTTTGTTCGTCGCTTTGAATAGGTCCGACTGTCGTTGTCGGATGAGTCGAGTTGTTGGAATTTCTTGACATCATAAGAATGTTTTTGATTCGATTCTCTTTTGCTCAGTCGTTCCTGCCAGCATGCATGGGATAAGACACACATTGTTCACGCACTTGTTGCTCCCGGGTGTAAAGATGGGCACATGGCCTATGTGTTGTTGTGATCTTCGCGAGAATTATGGCTTGTATGGGTATAGTGAGCTGCTTACGAGTTTATATGCAAATTGACTTTTTATACTGATTTGCTGATAAGGTAATCGATGACTAATTTGATTATACTATAGGTAAGTTGCAAATTAAAGTCTGCCTTTGACAGTAACAATATTTCCCAAAATAATGACGGAAATTTTATTGAAGTAACAAATTGTAACATTGGAAATAACTATTTTTCTAATAAGCAAATAGCATGAGACATACCAACTATTTTTAGAAATTACTATTGCTGCATGGTTTTGTGCCAAAATTGTTCATCAATTTTATCAACTTCAAATTAGGGCAGAGAACTACTTCGGCCTAATCGCCCATTTTGGGCCTATCAGGCAGAAAACTTCAAATAAATTCATGATTTCAGATTTAACTAGTCAATTATGCTTTTGGTACGAAACTTTAGTTAATAAGCTACGTGATATTAAGGTTTGCACCCATAATTCCCAAAAATAAAAGAAGTGCTCCGACCGAATCAATTTCTATCTTCATCCGATAGGCCGAAGTGAATTAATTGGCGTTTCAATGAAGTTTCAATGCGTTAGGCCGAGTTTAGAATCCGTAGGCCGAGTTTGGCGTCTAGAAGCAATGTTAGACTTTTGACAATATCTCAATGATTGGTTCCTCTTTATCAAATCTTACGGTACGTACGGAACGGTAAATAAATTTGGAAGCTATCAGTAATAATAACATTCCGTTTGGTGCTAAACTGTGCTAAACTAAGAAAGACTATGTGCTTAATAGGCCGGAAGTGGGTAGTTAGCCCTACTTTCTTTTAAAATCTTTTTGCTTCCATTCCATATGGTAGATTTTCAGTTGAACTTATGGTAGCAATTTTTCGCCATCATATCAACTAGCTTCAGAGATAGAAGGGAATTCATTTTGCGCACTATGATATTTTACCCCCATTTTTCCTACATTCTTTGGACTGCATTTATGAATATGTAGTTCAATGTACACAGCAACAAATTATTTTTAATATCATATCAAAGTGGATGGACTTCAATCGTGTCGAAAATATGGTAAAAATGACAAAATTATCATTAATACAGAGCATTAACTGACATTACACTGCTTTTACTTAATTTTTTTTTGTGGTCATAAAATAACAAGAGAATTTCAACATGATTGAAGTGCATCCTCTTGGTTGCCATTTTTGAAATTTATTTGCTGTGTATTCATAAATAGTAAAAAAAAACATGGCGTGGCAATCCAAAGTTTATTCTTTATTTTAGGACACTGCCCAAGTAACCAAAAGTTCTGATTAAAGGCTATTTGTGGCTTGGTTGAAGGTGGTCTATAGAATTCTAAGCAGCCTCACTTTTAAGTCGTTATAAGAACTTGAAAGTTCCGGTACCCTAATTGAAGAGCATTGTAAGCAGCCTCTGGCTGAACTTGAACAGAACTTTTAGAAAATAAATTATAAAAAAGGATTTTGTCCTCTGCACCAATTCTATATTAATTTCGCAATTTGATGAAAGTTATTTCTAAAGGCAGGTATTAATGTGTATTGATTAATCAGCATTAATAGTAGAGTTGGAGCTGTTTGAAGAATTAAACTCAGTCTTTCTGCATGAGAGCCCCAGCACGAACCGCTACGTCATCTGAGATATATAAAAGAGAGCTGTTGCCCGCCTACGGTTGGAGTTTTCAGTGCCAGCTGACTGACTTGAATACAAAACACAACACCTTGATGAATTTTAAATTGGTGTTTGCCCGCAAGGTATTCCATCACACTTGTGGCGCAGTGGTTAGCAATTGTAGATCGCATGCCCCCGAATACACGGGTTCGAATCCAGGAAATTACTTTTTATTTTTTTTATGTTTTAATAGAATATTGCATAAACATAAGAATTATGATTTATTCGGACCACTGATCATTTCATATTAACGTACATTAAATTTTGTTACTTATAAAGACTTGTGCGGATTGTTTCATGTGGCTTGAAAGTTCTGTCGGAACTTTATTTGTACTTTATGGAACTTGAAAGTTCTGTCGGAACTTTATTTGAACTTTATGGAACTTGAAAGTTCTGTCGGGGCTTTATTCGAACTTGATGGAACTTGAAAGTTCTATCGGAACTTTATTTGAACTTTATGGAACTTGGAAGTGATTTTAATCGTTGAATGCGGAACTTTTGGCTACTTGGGTGATAGCGGCAAGCTCCATCGAGGATAGTACGTCAATCTCGAGTTATCCTCGATTTTGCTAAGCTCTTAGCTTTGCTCAATGTTAATCTCGGAGATAACGCATTAGAGAAAATCTCGGATTTTCAAAAAGAGCGCTGCCAAAACCAAATCTGCTCATTCCGCTCTCACACACACATATGCACGAGAATCCCAAGGATGGGAGTGGATCTCCGGGGAGAAGAGAGTAGGACCAGTCGAGTGTGTTGCAGCCTTTGTCTCCTCCTGGAATCCAGCCTGTGCGAACACACAGATCATCATCATCGCCTACGACACGTTTTGCATTGCAGTGGAACATACGTTACTTACGCGCCAATATAAGCGAGTTCAAGCTGCTCATCAGCCAGTACGAACCATCCGCAATAGTTTTGTAGGAGACTACAGTGGACAACCGCTTTATCGCGCACCGCGCTCCATGAAACTAGCAATTAGCAACATGGAGTGGGTGCAATCCGCGATACCCTTCGAACGCATCGAAATCGACTGTGGCCTCCAAGCTATTGCAGTTCGGATCCAAAACTTGTTTGCACGATTATCAGCGCCATTGTAACACTGACGGAACAGCTGATAATCCTGAATGACGGATCGTACACACGGGTGGATCCAGCAATCGGTTCATCTTCTGCCATAGATCTCTCGATCTGTTCGGAGATGCTAGCTCCCAGATTTATCTGGCGAACACTTCTGGATACCCACAGCAGTGGCCACATTCCAATCAGCATCTCTTCACCTGAATGCTCACAAGTCACAACGAAGCGGAGGAGATGGTTCTACGACCAAGAGGATTGGACATCGTTCCAATATGTTAGGGCAGGATCGTGGTTTTCCGGCGGGGTATTTCGGGATCACACACGGACACTAGTCTCCAAAAACGGAACGGCAAAATCGGCGGAGTAGGCACTCAAGCTCACCAACACTTTATTTAATTTGAAAAATGATCTTTATTTCTTGGCGGTTGGAACTTTACTGGAACTGTTGGTGGTCACTTCCTGGACGGATTAGCTCATCAGCTGGGCGTGTACCCGGACAGGCGGGTGGTTAATGCGGTATCGCGGAGTCGGAATAAAATTGGAAAAAAAATCTAAAAGCACCAGCTGGAACTCCAGCACAATTTGGAATACTACGTACCGTGTGCCTAAATAAGGGTACTAGGCCTTGTATTTAATAAATCCAAGCACGAACTTTTACGGGGTGAAGCACAAGTGGATCCGAGAAGAATGGCGATCACTTGAATGCCGATCTGATCACAATATCTCGGGATGATGGCGAATGTAGCGTTAGTTTCCGTAGTGCGATGGCAGGATTTCTGGGAGGAAACCTGATCCTGGTCACGGCACCTCACGACGAGTTTGTCCCAAATCGGTACCTTGAAAACGACGATTAAGTGGCATCGAAAACTTTTGAGAGTACTGAAGCGCAGCAAAACAGCAGGATCGGACACAGCGGATGTTTTGAAGCAGTTGAAGGAAGCGAAGGCACCGGCTACGAAGGCAGTGAAGGAAGCTAAGGAACATTCGTGGGAGGACTTTGTCGGAAAAAATATCACCTAGCAGCACAACGGCAGAAATGTGGTGGACGATGAACACCCTGAGATGCAAACGACAATACAGCAAGGCGGTTATTAAACGACCCGATGGCTACACGGATAAGGCACAAGAAACAGCAGAAGAACTGGCCAAGCACTACTGTGAGAGATCGGCGACCTCAAGCTATCCTCAACTGTTTCAAACAGCGGCGCCGGTGGTGTAGCGGTAAGCGTGATTACCTCTCACCCCAGTTGGCCTGGGTTCAATCCCAGTCGGCGCCACCGGAATGTTCTGAGGCATAACATCTATGATCACACGCCTTCCTTCGGAAGGGAAGTAAAGCCGTTGTTCCCCGGTTCATGAGTTGATGGGTCGATAAGTAGGGCCCAAGTGTGGGAGCTGCCTCCCTGGCGTCGGTAGCATTGATGGTTCAGCTCGGAAAACAAGATCGACGGAAAACAAATCAAGAAAAAAAAAATGGTTTCAAACAGCGAAGGAAAGAGCGGAACGGGATCGGATGATTTGATGTCTGCCTGTATCCGTCAAAAACAGAGTATGGCGAACCGGAATAATAGTGCCGATTCCGTAGCCAAACTGTTCTGAATCTGGACCTGCTGCTTTCCGGCGTTGACCAACAGTGTGTCTCAAAGGTGTTCGAACGTATCGTGACGACTGAGTTGGGGTCAAATGGACAACTGGACAAGAGGCAGCTCGCTTTAAGAGCTGGGAGAGGCATCGATAAATACTTGTCGGAGTTGGATAGGTCATTGCCAAATCGGGATAAACACTGCTTGATAGCATTGCTTGATCTGTCGAAAGCGTACAACACCACTTGACGGTATCGGCGGGCGCATGTTCAACGTGCTGAATAGCGTCCACGCCGACAAGTCTTTCCGGGTGAACGTGGAAGAACATTTATCAGGTTAAATGCCATTGGAGAACGGAGTCCCCCAAGGGTCAGTGTAGTCCGTCACGTTATCCATTATTGTGATGCAGCCGATTTTCAGAGTGGTGCCGTCTAAGTGTCACCGTACTTTTCTATGCGGACGATATTTTGGTGGTGATACGGATGAATAAGGACCGTCCTCTATATCGAGATCTACAGGCTGCAGTGATACGGTCGCTGTCCTTCAAACTCCATTGCAAGATAGTCAAAACAATTGAACGTGGACTCTAGGCTGCGGATCTTGAAGATGATTGGAGCTAAACTTCCGCGAGGGTAATGCCATTCTCTGTTGTGGATCGGCGAATATTTCATTACTAGTAAACAACATGGCTTTGTTCAGGGAAGATCGGTTTTGTCCACCGATGATGATATT